AATGTAACGGGTGATCGCAAATGTATAATCGTTCCAGTGAACTCTGTGGCATACTGGAAAGCTCACTGCAATAATTAGTGCCTGAATATGAAAAGGAAGAGACGGATAACTTATTGTCAGTCTTATTTAGGATAACTTTACATTTCCTCTAATGAATTCAGATTGATAATTTTCTATGGTCCTTACTAACTACATGAAAAACATAAAAATGTATATCACAGACTTCTATATACTAATTAGATTGCTTTATTTTTTCACGTAATACGTCACAAATGGAAGTTGTGTGAAGCCATTTTGAGTTTATTCATACATGTATAAATTACACCAATAATCATCACTAATGTCAATATATTAGATTTTACAATCATGAAATAATAAAAGAGTCGAAAGTACCATTAATGATTATGAATAACACACGCTATTGTCAATAGACAATAAAAATCCAAATGCATGAAAGAAGGAAATAAAATATAAAGAATATGTAAGAAATAAGCATTTGTAGTTTAATAAGCCGAAACATGACGCATTATTTTCCTGATTAGAGCAGTCGTGAATCGATCACATAATACATACACTGTACACCAAAATGATATATCGCCATCCTCCACTACATCTCTCTCCATTTAGCAAATCTTGATTGATCACTGGATTTCCATGATCCTTATTGCAAACATCAGCTTTACTAAAACAAATCACAAACTCTATTAAAAGCGCATAACTTACAATTACACATCTGTGGCGCCGGTGTGAAGTTAGCGCCTCATTTTATAGCACCGCAAGTTTTAACGATAATTCTATTGGCACCCACAATAGTTCCACAGTTCCTGATAGGTTATATTAATAGCTCCGCCGAATTAGTTAACAAAATGGCAGATTGAAAACATGAGGTGCTAACTTCCCGTAGCACCGCAACTTCCAAAAAAAACCATTTCAAGCACGAAATCTTATAGTTCTAGAATAATTCTATAGTTCTTGAAACCAGAACTTTAGCAAAAGTTCTGGTTTCTAACCATTTTTAAATAATTTTTTAAACTTAGCGCCAGCACCGCACCACAAGAGTAAAGTATCAGTTTGCTAACAGTTCCAGCCGCCTTCTGGGTTTCTCTTAGTAGTTCTACAATAGTTCCAACGCTTTAGGTGGGTTTCGTCGCGGGTGACGGCCTTTAACTATTTTTAAATAATTTTTGAAACTGAGCGCCAGTACCGCACCACAAGAGTAAAGTATCAGTTTGCTGGCAGTTCCAGTTGACTTCTTAGTCTCTTTTAGTAGTTCTACAATAGTTCCAACATTTTAGGTAGGTTTCGTCAGGGGTGTCGGCGTTTACCTATTTTTAAATAATTTTTGAAACTTAGCGCCAGTACTGCATCACAAAAGTAAAGTATCAGTTTGCTGGCAGACTGAACTACTAAATGAGACCAAGAAGTCGGCTGGAACTGCCAGCAAACTGATAGTACTTTACTCTTGTGATGCGGTGCTAGCGCTAAGTTTTAAAAATTATTTAAAAATGGTTAGAAGCCAGAACTTTTGCTAAAACATATCAGGAACTATAGAACTATTCTAGAACTATTCTAGAACTATAAGATTTCGTGCTTGAAATGGCTTTTTTGCAAGTTGCAATGCTACGGGAAGTTAGCACCTCATATTTTCAATCTGCCATTTTGTTTTCTAATTCTAATTGTTAACTAATTCGGCGGAACTATTGATATAATCTATCAGGAACTGTGGAACTATTGTGGGTGTCAATAGAACTATCGTTAAAACTTGCGGTGCCAATAAATGAGGTATCATTCACACCGGCATCTGTGGCCAACAGTTACGTTTAGCAGCGAGAAAAGCAGCTTAATAGCTTGCGCTGCTAACAGCTTGGTAACTATTGTAAGATTTTCTTCTAAACGACATTAATGTTTTACGCCTTTTTCAACGTGTTTACCAGGCGGTTGTCATTTCTTCGGTATATGTTTATTATGCTGGATCGTTTAGTAAATATATGTTGAAAAAATTTATGCAATTTATATATTTTTGTTTGAAAAAAGAAAAGGACAGATTGATAATATCCTCCCCTCTCTCTCTCTCTCTCTCTCTTTCTCTCTTTCGTTCTTTCTATCCGTTTCTGTTCGTTTCTATTTGAGTGAGCCTTCCAGTATAGTATATAGGATGTCCGAGATTTTTTTAAAACGAAAAATCATGATTTATCTGATCAAACTGAAAAGAAAAGTCACGCACCATTTTGAAAAAATCGCAATAGTTATTAAGTTATTAATGATTGAAAATGAACACATCTAGAAGCTCTTTTAATTGATAATTTGAAAATTTGCATGCTTATTTGCAAAATGGACTTTTAAAGGACATTTTGTTCAGAATGACTTAACCTACATTTATACGACGGTTATTATATCTAGCGATAAGTATATTGAATTTTGAGCCCTGAATCTTGAGCCTCTGTCGCTAGGCACAAACGCCGTTATATAATTACAAATTAGGTCATTCTGAACAAAAAAGTCCTGTACCATTTTGCAAATGAGTACGCAAATTTTCAAGCTATCAATTAAAAGAGATAGCTGTCTAGCTATGGTCATTTTCAATCATCAATAATACTTAATAACTATTGCGATTTTTGCAAAATGGTTGACTTTTCTTCTCAGTTTTATATGATTAATCTTCATAATTTTTCATTTTCGAAAGATCCCGGACACTCTGTAGAGATTTGCGTGGATTCAATAATCCACGATGTCTCGAATCTCGCGGATCTAAAGAAAACAGTGGAACGTGATCATTGTTAAAGTCGAGGTTAAAATGTGAAATATTCACAAACACAGGAATATAGGGACAGAGCATAAGCTCGTAAGATAGGCGGGAGGAATTGTGCTGAAATGCGGGGGGCGACTATGCCTAAGTTTCATTGGCTACAATAGTGCGCATATTCAGAGCGTGTGATGCATTGACTTGGCTGTCACTGGCAAACAATAAATATAACAAAATGATAAGAACTATTTACACTGACAGTATTACTTTGCAGAGGTTATGCATGTGTCTTTTTTTCATAATTTCACTCACACACAACTTCATACACATCTATGTATGTATCAAATATTTACACACGGCGTACAACCACCAATTAGATTTAGGCACAGTTTACCTCGTCGCACCGTCCCGCAATGGTTATCCCCCCGCGACTCTATGCTCTGTCCCTATATTCCTATGTCTATGGAAATATTCGCTTTTTGTAGAAGGAGGAGGAGGAGGGAACGGAAGATAAAGTTTAAGCCGATAAAAGAAGAAGGAATACGTTGTCGTCTTCTCGGCAGTTGCTCGAGTCCTTATCCGTCCGTTATCGCACGCAAAAGAGATATGACCGAGGTATAAAAAGAGAAGCAGAGAAAAAGAGAGAGAAAGGAAGGGAAAGAAAAGAGAGAGAAGATCCTCGTTGCATTAGCGGCAAGCTTCTCTCGACGGCCTTGAAGTCTCCCGACATCCGGAAGGGCGCGGTAGAACCGCGATAAATGTCCGGCGCAAATGCATCCCCTTGATTACACGATTGTCGTTCGATACCAAGGGAGAGCGACTCGATAGTATCGATCCGCGCGAGGTTTCGCGCGAACGAAGCTTTCCTGTCGCTTACACGCGTCATCCCGCGCGGACGATATCCTTCGCCATGCGAATGCGTCCCCTTGTTCTTCGTAATCGCTCGTCCTTCGCCATGCACTGTTGACCGCATCGATCCGCGATTCACCGCAAGAGCGTGGAGCGCGTAAATATAGATATTTCCAGCGCGAACATAGCAAACACGTTCCACGAGCTTCTCGTATTTTCTGTATCTCTTCCCATCGTGCCAAAAGTCGTTTGAATTTCGAAACGAAAATTCAAACTTAAATATTAGATATTAATGTTACCATTATAAATTAAAAATCTCTTTAATTTTTATTTTGTTTATTAAACTTTTCTTTAACTTTTACTCTTACAGAATATTTAAAACTTATAAAAATAATGAACGGGACGAGGATGTACTGGAAAATATAAAATTTTTGGAAAACTTAAAAATGTAATTATGAAATACATCGAACACACCATAAAAATTTTGTTTTAAATATTTTATTTTATATCTTACATGTCATAGATATTGTCTCATGATAGAATATAAAAAATTAATTTCAAGAAACTATTTCTCTCGATATCTAAAGATATGAGAATGCTCTTATCAAGGAAAGAAGAAAAATACGTGTGTCTTATTTTTGGCTTCTCTGCAAAATATCCAAGACTCGTCAAAATCGACGAGGAACACCTTCAGGCGTTGTGTACACAAGATGCCTATCTAATTTTTAATTTCATCTTTCAGTGCAAAAATAAATTGATTCTTTGCGTTATTTTTGAAAAACTTCACAACCTTACTAATTTCCATCCGATAAGACGATCTCTGCTCTCAGCATTCAGCTCTCTCTTTCGCTTCAACTACCTTCTTCTTTCTTATTTTTCTACCACTCCGCATCCTCGCTTTAAAACAGCTTAGCACATTACACCCGCAATTGACTAACGTTCCATTCAGCTTAGTGCAATAGCTGATACGTTAATTAGTAAATGCTGATAATAGCCGGTCGGCAATTTCATACAGGAGCCGATGTAGAGTTGAAGGGAAAGTCTACTGCACAAGAGATGAAAATAAAAAATTCATTGGCGCTTGGCCTAATTAGGTGATTATCGACACGAACGTTCTTACGAGAAAGAGAGAGAGAGAGAGAGAGATGCGTGTAAAGGTAATAAAAGTTTATTAGACGCCTCGCCGCGCGCAACGCGCCATGTCCGCGCGTTAATGAACGACACGCAGTAAATATTGATCGGCGCTCCTTTTCGCCAAGACGAAGGGAATCCAATCCGGAGATGCCCTAATTGGATTCCAGCGTCTCCGTGAAGTCGTTAAATCGGGGCTCGCGTTGATGTTCGCGGCTAGCGCCGGATGACTTCCGCTGCACGCTTCGCACTGACCAGACTTCGATTTCTGTTCCAGAAAAAACTGCACCAGCTGCAAGTGTCCACGAGAGGCCCACGATGTCTGCCACGAAGAGTGGGTATCCGTCAGGTCCCGCTTGGGCCTCAAAGGCGACGAGCCGAGTGGACCTATCAGTGTGGATCCTAGAGAGAGAGGTCTCGCTTGGGCGCCACCCGGTCTTGCGTCGCATAAGGTATATGTCCGTTTTTCTCTTTGAATGTTGAAGAACATTACGGCAAGCTGAAGGATAGATTTTAACGCTTGAGTTTCTTCTCTCACTTATAGATTTTTATACGTAAAGTAATATTCTATGAGTGGTAGTATACATTTATATTAGATGATTGAATAAGTCTCCGTCGTTGTTTTGCAAAATAACAGATTTGGGTTTCATGAGAGACAGAAAGTTTATTCAAAGTAGTGTCCATCGTTAGCTACAACCTTTTCCTACTTTTTACATAATAAGTGGATTCCGCGATAGAAGAACTCCGATCCTTTTGAAGCGATCTAATGTTTAAGCCAATTATTGATATCTTATTGATATCTTGAAATATTTGATACAAAATGAAGCGCTGCTTAGCAAGGCCATGCTGCATAGGCCGAAACAAATGATAATCAGAAGGAGGTAGGTCTGGGGAATATGGCGGGTGTGCTAACACATCCCAGCTGAGTGCTTCCTTGACTGGAACGTATCCTTGACTGGTTTCGCAACATGTGATCGAGCATTGTCGTGTAGCAAAATCACTTTGTCATGTCTTTTGGTATATTCTGGACGTTTGTCAATGCTTCAAATTCATTAATTGTTCTCGGTAACGTTCACTATTGATAGTCTGACACGGTTGCAGCAGTTCATAATACACCACACCTTGTTGATCCCACCAAATATACAAAATAACCTTCCGTTCATGAATATTCTGTTTTGGCGTTGATGATGATGGCTGGCCAGGCTTGCTCTATACTTTTGGTCATTTCGGATTGTCATAGTGGATCCATTTTTCATCCCCCGTAAAGATTCGATGGAAAAATGACTTCTTGTTCTGTCTTTAAAGCAACAATTCGCACATGGTTAAACGCCTTTTAAGGTCTCTTTCAATTCATGTGATAACCAGTTTCCGAGTTTTTGAATAATTCCCATTGTTTTTAAACGTTTGCTAACAGTCGATTGATCAACATTTAATATCTCTGACAATTCTTTCAACGTTTGACATGGATCTTCATCAAGTAATGTTTCCACTTGTTCTTCTCAATCCTCAAATTTTTTCGTTGCACCTTCGCGTTCTTTATCTTTCACATCGCAATCATCATTTCTAAAGCGTTGAAACCACTCTCTACAATCTCTTCTGGATGAAGTATGCTCCCCATGTGCCTCTACAAATAAACGATAAGTTTCAGCTGCACTTTTCTTAACAATAAAATAATGCAGTAAAACTTCCCGCAAATGCTGTTTTGTTGGTACAAAAGCCGACATTTTCAATATAATGATAAAAATATTGTTTATACGTCCACCAAATGTCATATATTAAATATAAAAGCTTGTTTATAATACTATAGTATATATAGTAGTACTATAGTTTATAGTATATAGTATATGGTATATGTTGTCACTGGAAATTCTATGCATGTAATATTCGTTACATCTCTTGGAAAACGGCGGAAACTTATTCAAACATCTAATAGAAGCATACATATATAAATATAAAAGTACATAAATTTGGAAGAAATTATACTCTTAAATATAGAGAAATTTTTATGCATATAAGAAATACATATATAAGTTGATTTTATATACGTTACTATACGTTGAAATCTAACTTAACCTAAACGCAGGCTACCCCGTGGTGTTCAATTCATACAAAAGATCCGTTGTTTCTTTATTAAATTCTAACCTGCAAACAGTTATTGATTCTTTTTTTGATTAACAACGAAATAGAGAGACTTTGTTAGATGTTTCAGAAAGTACGAAAGCAATGTTATGTCCACTGTATTAGTAAAAATTAATAATACTTTACAGCTGGATAATTTTGTTTTCAATTTCATTTAGTCGAATTTATTAAATTTTATTGAACCAATACAATAAATCTTTTCAGTCTAATAAATAATATGACTAGGAAGGTAGTGATTCTATAATATATAACAAGACAAATCGGACGTACAAAGTAAAAAAATATTTTTAAGAAATAAATGAAAAATATTGCTTAATGGAAAAGTGATTTTTAACCCTAAATGTATATTTAGCAATTATTATTATATATTTTTTTTTCTTTTTTAATGAAATTCCATCTCACTCTTATCATTTAATTATTTTTATTATTATTATATTGTTACTTCCTTTTCTATTTTATATTCTTTTGCATATTTGTGTCTAACCGTGTTCATTATCGAGATGATTGTAACGATATATTGCAATAATCATGAAAGCTAAAAGAAAACGGAAGAGCATTGATAATTTATCAACCTTCAAAATTAATTTTCCAGAAAGTAAAGCCTCCTAAACGAACAAAATTTATCATATCATATTTTCGACTTATTAATTCGTACGGAGAATCACCATTTTTCCTTCCATCATCCACAACATATTTTATTTATTTCTTGAAATTAATAATTATTAATAATTAATAATGACTAACAATAACCCATAGCAATTAATAATAATGAATAATGATAAAAAATAATTCGTACTTCCGACCGACATAACATTTATTTCCAACATCACTCCCTCATAGAAAAACACTTACTTAATTACTTATAAAAGTACTAAAATTACTGAGCAACAATAATTTATCACTGGCCAATTTATTACAGCCAGTATAATACCTTTCTATAAGTGACTCCGCTAATTCGGCAAAAATAAATATCCAGCAGTGATTTATGGCGCAATCCAACGAACGGTTTTCGGTTTTATGAGTTTTCAGACGCGTGCATCCGAGCGAACGTTTCCCTCCTCATCTTTCAATTTGTCACGAAATCGCACTTCGATCGCGCACTCAGATCTCCGAGCGTCGTAAAGAGTTTATGCTGTTCGTCGCACTCGCGCGCGCAAAGCGCAACGACGTCGCACCCCCTTAAACGAGCCGTTTGCGGTTTATATCGCGAGTCGAATAGGATAATAACGGCTATACTCGTGGGCGGAGGAAAGACGCGCAGCGAAATAGACGCCACAGTGTTTGACGGCCCGGGGGGAGGAGGGGGGAGGGATCCTGGCGTGCCGCCAGCCTTCGATATTTTCCAAAAAGCCCAGCGCACACACCGGCGCGCCCGCGAATCCGTCGCTCTTTATCACCGCCGGATGCTTTATTGCAGACGTCCTCCAGTCTTTTTTCCTTTTTCCGCTTTTTTTTTACGAGAGGGCGAGCCACTTGCGAACGACCAACGCCGCTTTTACGATGTTTCCAATGCCGGCGGCGGCGGTATGTATGTATCGAGACACTCGCTGCTGCTATTTTCCCGACGAAAGGACCTCAGGCGACCCTCGAGAAACAAAATATTTGTACTTCGTCGCGGCCGTACAGTACGAGAACATCGGGCTAATCCGTTGCTGTCCGCGCAGGTGGAAGAGTACTTCTCGATGTTGCCGGAGATCGCCGTGCCGAGACTCGGCACACCCGGCGAGCGTCACAGGGATCGCCAGTTAGCGATCCAGTTGCCTAAGCAGGACTTAGCGAGGGCCTATTGTCGTCACTTAGACCTGAAACACGCCAGCAGCGCTGATGACTTTATGGCCGCCAGGAACGAGATCGCCTTGGACATCGGGAGCGTGCAAGAGGTCCTCGAGAGAAATCTCGTGAGTGTTGTTATGACTTTTGTGAAAGTGATTGTTCTTCCGAATGTGAATGTGTGGATGAATTAGACATGTATATTAATCGCGATCAGTCACCAGTAGAAAACGATGATGATGAACAGGCTGAATGCCACGGATGTTTCGATGCATGAGTGAGAAAATTTCATTTTAGGCAGAATTTTCCATTGAAATTTTACATTTCGGAATTTTATCTTAAAATCTCAAGGCTCAATTCTATAAATTGATAAGACTGAAATCAAAACAAAGTTATGAATTTAATAAAATTATTTTGTTTTTAATTGAAATATGTAACTTATATATTTCAGTGCAGTTTTATAAATTATAATATTTGTTAGTCATTTGCCAAACAATTATTTCAAATAAAATCTTATCTTTCTTTAAAGAAATAGGAATAATAATATGATTTTTTAATTAGAATTAATCTAATTAATTAAATTAATCTAACAGGTATAACTAATTGTAGAGAAGTAATTAAATTTAATTTAATAAATTATATTGACATTAAATTAAATTAATTAAAATTAAATAATTAACAAAATTAGAAATAAATCTAAGAGTGAAATTTCATTTTATAATTTTTATTTAATTACTTATAAAATTAAATTCGTAGGCTGATATTATTTTTTTATCAAAACAGAAACATTTCTACTATTTATTAATTTATGTAGATGCATTTTATATTTACTATATGTTGAAACCTGCATCGTGGCTTCTATTATTCCTTTCAATTATACTGTCGACTGAACATCAAAGAATTTTTGTGTAAACATCTTCTAAATTTATATTTTTTGATCTATCTTCAGACATACAATAATAAATAATCAACATTAAGTTATAATAAAATTAGAAAAAATTATTAAAAATTTTTTGCCCTTTGTTGCTATATTATTTAAGAATATTCAGTTTTGATTTCTTGAAATAAATATTCAGTTTTGATTAATAATTTTTATAAATAAAATGAACATTATCGATTAAATATTTCTTCAAGTGTCTAACGAAGTCTTCCTACATTTTCCTCTTAATTACTAAATTAATAGTTTTCTTCGAAGCAGAATTTAACAGAAAACTCTAAATAGACTTTTTCATTATCTGATGTAAAACAAATATGTTCCCGTTCAGCTTCGAAGAAATAAAAATTCAAACTCAAATGAAATTAAAATTTTGCTTTATTTAAAATTTTATGCGACCACGATAAAACAAATAATACTGCCTTTGTGTTTAAATATTTAACAAGGTTTATTTTTCCATATTCAAATTGATAACATTTTATAAGTACATAATTCAACGGAAAGAATCTCTAAATTTAATATATTATCTATAATCGATCAATCTCTCGCACCAACCAAATCAGTTCATCAATCATCGGCGATGATTCACGTGGTGTAAGATATTATTACGAAATTACAATATAAAGCCGAGATCGCAGTGTCAAGGTTACAAGTGAATCTGTCAAAGCTTGTGTCGAGGTTCCTAATAGCCGCGCTTTTGTCTTCCAGGAGTGCGGCGTGTGCCAATCGCCCCTAAAATACGGCAGTCTCGCTGTATCAGCCAGCAAACTGGGTCTATTTTATCACCCGGCGTGCTTCAGATGCGCGGATTGCAAGGAGCTCCTGGTCGATCTCGCTTATTGCGTGCACGACGACACGCTCTTCTGCGAGAGGCATTACGCAGAACAGCTAAAGCCGAGATGCGCCGCGTGCGACGAGGTAAGTGATTTATTTTCCATTGTACGCCAAACAGTGCACGATTGACAACTATGTCCGCCACGTGACTCGACGGTCTCGTGACTTGTTATTATGTGAATATGGACGCGCGCGGAAAATGCGCGTAGTACTTTGACTAATTGGCAGGGAAATTTTATTAGCGGCTGATTATAGAGAGCGTGGTATCATATTATCGTGAAAGCGAATTCTAATAAGACTAATGCTACGTGAATGCAACTGATGGAACGTTTCGATATTGTTGTCACTTTGTATTTTATTTACATGCTGAAGCGTTGAAATATTTTTATATAAGATTTTTATATGAAATTTTATATTCTTAAAAAAAATTTAATTCATTAATGCCGGCTGGGACAGAAATTTCACGTTGATCTCAATGTTGTGAATTTTTATGAAAATGCTCGAAAATTTTAATCCAAAGTACATTATCAGGTGTTTTCGAGGTCGCTCTTTCCGAACCCGCTGCGAGAATCATAAAAAAATGAGTGTTTGTATTGATTTGTAACGGTTCTTTTCCAAAAAATGTGATTTTTCTCGTCAAATTTTTTTTAAATAATGGATTTCATCTTGATAAAAATGTTGAATATTACTGAAAAGTACTCCAATCGTGTCTTCAAGACTTGTACTTAAAATATATGTGGTTCCGAAATTTTTTGCAATTCAGTCATTTCAATATAGCGACCATATGCATGTATCACCATAGATATCGTCGGATCCTTGGGAACTCAGTCGAATAACTCGTTATAAGTGCATTTTTATGAAAAATTATCTAAAATAAATGTTGTCCTGTTGATAGAGTTCTTTCACGTGGTAGGCCCAAAATTTGGGTCCGATGTACTTTTTGGGCCTAACGGGGCCCAACGTTGATTTCTTGGTGCAAAACTTATATTTTTTATTACAGATTTGAAAAGTACAGAAAATTTGACGTCCAGATATGTATTTTTGAAGTTACAAGTCTTGAAGACACGATTAGAGTACTTTTCAGTAATATTCAACATTTTTATCAAGATGAAATCCATTATTTAAAAAAAAATTGACGAGAAAAAGTCACATTTTTTGGAAAAGAAACCGTTACAAATCAATACAAACACTCATTTTTTTATGATTCTCGCAGCGGATTCGGAAAGAGCGACTTCAAAAGCCCCTAGTAATGTACTTTGGATTAAAATTTTCGAGCATTTTCATAAAAATTTATAACATTGAAATCAACGCGAAATTTCTGTCCCAGCCGACATTAATGGGTTAATATATCATATATAAATAAATATAATATACAAATATAATGATATATAAAAAAATATAATTTATGTATATGTATATTAAATCGAATCCCGAGGTACGTAATAGCACAAAACCGTGCTATAATTGATTCATGCGGGTTATTCAACTTCCCGGAATTTTTGGAACATTTATATATAGGGTGTCAGAGATGTTTTGGAAACGAAAAATTGTAAAGATTAATCAGATTAAACTGAGAAGAAAAGTCATGTATCATTTTGCAAAAATCGCAATAGTTATTAAGTTATTAATGGTTGAAAATGACCACATCTAGAAGCTCTTTTAATTGATAACTTGAAAATTTGGGTACCTATTTGCAAAATAAAATTGTAGATTAGATCATTCTGTGTAAAAATGTCCTCTGCCATTTTGTAAATAAGTACGCAAATTTTCAATTTATCAATTAAAAAAGCCTTTAAATATGATCATTTTCAATCATTAATAACTTAATAACTATTACGATTTTTGCAAAATCGTATTTGACTTTTCTTCTCAGTTTGATCTGATTAATTTCACAATTCACAATTTTTCACAATTTTTCGTTTCCAAAAGATCCCGGACACCCTGTATAAAATATCTCGGAATATATCGTTTATGAACAGTTTACCAAGTAGCATCTTTCTGAGTATACATGTTTAGGCTTTTTCTTTCCACTGTATTTTTGTAATTCTGCGATCGTCGAAATAGCTGGTCTTTAGTAGTAATAGAATCGCATCTCAAATTTTGCTTGAAACTCAATAAGACTGCGATAGAAACCGAATGCTAAAAGAGAATTTGGTGACCAAGCTTTAAGTCGAGCAAATATTTAAATAGCTTAAGCGTTTCAAAGAAAGCCGAAAATGTGTCGAAGATGACGAACGTGCGAGTGGACCGTTGTCATGTACAATTTTGGGAACTATTGCAAAAATGTGTGAAATCTATAGATGAGCATTGCCAAACAGAAGCAGTGTCCGCTAAATAATCGATTATCAAAAGTATCGATTTTTTTAAACATCGGAAATAATCCATTAGTTTCTATATTTCTCATAAAATAATATCCAATCAGGTATAAATAATAATCTAATGAGTTACTCAATCAAACATGATATATTTTGGATCGGAAATATAATTTGAGAAGTTATGCTTACTTACAAGGCCAAAGAATATATGTTTTCGAGAATAATTTCTTTTGTTGGAAAAAACGTACAATTTTTTAAACAAAAATTCATGTATTTAAAAATAGTACATTTTTAAATAATTATTTTAATTTTTCTTGATTAAAAACATTTTAAAATTTGGTTTTTGATCGTTCGATAAAAAATTAGTTTTAAACAAAATGATGGCTGTTCAATATTCAGGTATCGATTTTTGGCAAAAAAAATATTCGTTTTTTTATCTTTGAATCAAAAACAATATAATGAAAAAAACCCACGATTAAAGATTAGATTTTTATATTCAACAAAAGTCTGCAAAAGCTGAGCTAACTCAGTACAGCAGAGGATTCTGAGATATTTGGATTATCGATTTTAAAAATGTGGATTTGAGAAAAACGCGTTTAAAGTTTCAAATTAAGTTTATAATAATATAAAATAATTAAATAATTAAATAATATAAAAAAAGTTGTCGTTTCCAGGATTATATAAGTTCTTCTCTGCATCAGTTCCACTGCTTCTTATATTTACTACTGTTTACGAAACATTTTAGCCTCTTGAATATTGTTTTGCGCGCATTTGTCTGAAATCGTGATGCGGGTCTCATCTTCTCGTGCTACATATTGATGAGCATTTGGGCCACTGTGAACGTCAATAGCTTCTAGCATTTTCGACAACACAGTAGTTCTATCGTTAAACATAGCAGATGCGATTAAAGCAATTGATTGAATGCTTATGCAGCCACTCGATACAATTTTGAGGCTAATTTCCCAGATTAATTGATTCAAAATCTTTCATTATCATTTTGCGCGAATCCGTAGATACATTTTTCTAATAATTTGGTTTTACTTAAATCTTCATATATCGCCCTTATTGCTGTGAAAACATTATTGGGTAAAGGCATGCAGTTGTGCGTAAAGGAAACAAGGATATTGTTTGCGGAAGCGTGCTGCCAGGAATACCATGATGTTATTGTTTATCATTTGGACGATAATGATGCTACGTCGCCCATATTGCATTCTTCATACTCTTGATGGAACTACAATCCCGCCGTATTGTCAAACCGTAATAAACTGTTAATTCGTCGATCATTTTGCTACTCAATTTTCCATTGTCGCCGAATTTTTTATTTTTTTTCTTTTCTTTCTTTTCTTTTCTTATACTTCCGCAGTTGACGTTCCATCTTCTTCTGGCCGATACGTTCCTTTTTCGTAACAAGAGCATCACTATGAGAAGCAAAAATCATATAATAACGCAAAAAGTTTTCGGCATTCTCGATATAATTAATATACTTGACATATTTTTCTTCTAAATGTTGAAAAATTCCTGCGATGGCGTTCAATTCCATTTTGCTCGTCGTGGCTCGCCGAGTAATTGGATCATGCGTTTTTCGTTACTATTCGTCAAACTCGACAACAAATCTTTTTTTATACCACAACTCACATATTTTACAATATGAATTTTTCATAACAACGTCCAGGACTTTGCAGTGTAATATCCGATAATTGAAGAAATACCGAACAAAGAAGTAAAGCCTCGTTTCTTCCAAGTTCTCGTTTCCAGAAATAGTTACATATTTGTAGTCTATTGTATTGTTCTCTACGTTTACCGCTTTATATGTCTCTTGTACTTCATGTTTCACAACATTCACAACATTTCACAACATCTTTGTTTTCACAAAGGATTTTTATGTAACTATGTTTATGTATGTGTTTAATAACTATAGCATGAGTGCTATGAAAAAAAAATGCTGACATATCCATTAGGCGGCAAAAGCTTTGAGCACCTTTCAAACCTACGCTTAACACCTTCGTTATAAAAATAAAACGTTTGTTGATTTCATATAAATTCCCAACGAAAGAGCATGAAATAATACAACGAGGCAAGCATTAATACAATTTTAAATCCAAGCCTACGCGAACTAGCAGTTCGAAATTTAACGTCGTCTTGACTTTATACTTGCTACTTGACGAATCTGACAATTTGTTTAAAATTTTATGTTCGATAAGATCCATGAACATTCCAGTTCACTTCTTCCGAAGAGAAGAACAACCTGAAACTTAGAACTTCAAAACTAATTAAGTAAACTGGAATGTCCACGAAACATCGGAAACAAATCCACGATAAACGTGGTTTATCGTGAAAAACCAACTCAAGCATTTTTCTAAACCGTAAAAAAAGCCTAAAATATTATATTAAATTAGAATGTTAGTAATCGAAGAAACATTCATATTATATATTGTATACAAAGCTTTATCTCTCAGTTACATTAATTTTTATCGTTAACCAAAGTTTGCAATTCAAATTCCTACGTCAGTTTGCTGGTTTATAGCTCGATTTTTATATTTAACCCTTTAACTGCTACGGTCGAGATAACTCGAGTGTGGAAAAAAATGGCGGCCTTGCTACGATCGAGTTTACTCGATTTGGACTTTCAATGTGTAATACCCATTTAATTTAGTTTGTAAAAAACATTTGAATTGAGCAGGCATATAGTGTCATCTCTTATCATTATAAAATATTTTATAATTGTAAAACTAACTCAGCAAAGAGGGTCATACTAGTCATTTAATATCT